ATTTAGTTACATATAATGTGTCAAAAGAGAAAATGGCTCACACAATTGCTGAAAAAATATTCTTCCAGCATTTTTGGATATGATATGTATATGTAATATTTGATGATAAGTCAGTTGATAAATTAAAAACTATACCTAGTAACAAAAGAATATCTCTTCAGTTTTGTACTATTGCAAAACATTTAGAATCAACACTTCTTACTCAATTGAAATCTAGTGTAGATATTTCAGGCCAGCTAGACGAAAGCACTGATATTAGAAGATCATTATTAAAATTAAAATTTTAATTGTTTATGTCAGGTATGCATGGAAGGATGATTTCATGGAGTATTTTTTGTGCTTTTTAAATTTAACCTCTCATTTAAGTGAATTAGAGATTTTTACAGAATTGTAAAAGTGCACATTTGGTCAATATGAATTAAACTGCAAGAAGTGTACAAGAATTACAACTGATAGAACAACAAACATAACTGGAAAACACAGCAGAATAATTAAAAAAATTGCTAGAAGTTACTAATAATAGTGTTGTGTGGAATCATTCATTTTTCATGATGTATACATCATGAAGCTTTAGCATCCAGAGCAATTCAACACAATCCCATGGAAGTATTGGAAAATGCAGTAAATGTTTTTAATCTTATTAAAGAAAGCTCATTGCATAGCTGATTTCTTGAAAGATTGTGTTCAAAAGTTGAAACTAATTACACCCACATTGGTTGTCTCAAGAAAAAAATCTAAGCAGGGTATAAGTGGTAAGGAATGAGATTCACAGTTTTCTCATTGAAAAAAAAAAACCTCATTTAGCCAATATTTTTGAAGATGATTTTTGGGTAACAAAATTGGCATATTTAACTGATATTTTTGCATTTTAATGAACTGAGTTTAAAAACTACATAGGAAAAACCATGGTATTTTCCAAAATGTTGAATGTATCCAAGCATTCTCAAAGAGATTGTTGCCAAGGCAAGTAAGGCTTAAAAGTAATCGTCCTAGTCACTACATGTTCCCAAGGTTTTTATGACATATTGAAGAGAACATTATTAATAAAACAATTTGAAGGAAATGAAATTAGAAGTCTTGTTGTATCTCACTTCTCTATCTCAAACATTTAACCATTTCTCTCCAGAAGAGAAACTTGAGACAATAAGGGAGAACAGTTTTCTTTTCCATTTGCTTTTCAAAACCCTGAATCAATGATCAAGTTAAACTTAGTACCTGAAGAAGAAAATCAATTATTGCAGCATAGTTCTTCATATATGTTGAAGAATGATTATGAGATCCTAAATTTATCAGCATTTTGAATTAAGATAGAAGGAGCCTTTCTTTATTAAGTAGACAAAGGATCCTGCAATTACTACCATTCATAACAGCCAGTTTGAGTGAGGTGGGCTTTTCCATCTTAACTCAGTTAAAGTCAAAGGGAGGAGACAGACTGCATGGCATAGCAGGTATATGGGTAGCATCATCTTCCTGTGCTCCAGACTGGAAAGAGCTGTTGAACAGAAAAGCACACTTGTCACGTTAAACAAAATCCTCCCTAGCTTTTGCTTTTGTATCATTTTTAATGTTATTTTGTAATATTATCCATTGTATTTAATTGGTAGTGGAACACTGTATGTGATAACTTCATTATGCTTCATATTATGCGTTAATATTAATAAAAGCAATAATTTTATGTTTATTGAACTAAAAAAATACAAACAATACAAAATTCTGGAGAGGATCTCACTGTTTTAGGGATTGTAAATTAGTACAACCAGTATGCAAATCAGTACAGAGGATCCTCAAAAGACTAGGCATGGAACCACCATGTGACGCAGCTATACCACTCCTCAGTATTTATCCTAAAGAATCATAAGTCATCATACCACATTGATACATGCATAGTATGTCTAGAGTATAGCCAAAGTATGCAACCACCCTATCTGTACTACAACAAATGAATGGATAAAAAAATAAGGTACATATACTCAATGGAATTTTATTTCATAAAGAAAAATGAAATTATTTCATTTGAAGAAACATGAAGGGAACGAAATAAACCAATCACAGAAGGTCAAGTGTCATTCATGTTTCTTCTCATATGTGGAAGCTAGAGAGAAAAATGGAAAAAGAAGTTTGAAGTCTGGAATTTCATGAAAATTAAAAGGAAATCAGTAGCAGAAAGGAACCCAGCAGGTGGGAGAAAGGGAAGAAGGG